GTCATCAAGATGCAGAACTGCAGCATCGCCCTAAACCACCTCGAATATCGGTCGGAACTGAATGCACTTCATACGCTGGAATCGATTGTCAGATGTTTGCCGGCCAAAATGCAGACAGCTTGGGCGACCGAAGCCGATCGAATCGAGAAAAAGAACACAGAGGCGACATTTGACGAACTCGCACAATCCATAGGTTGCCAATCTCGCATAGCAAATAGTCGATTCGGGCAACTGGTGAGGTAAAGCATCAGGAACGCTAGGCCTTCAACCAACTTTACACCGTCTGGATCTCGAGGTTTCCCTACCCGACGTAATTGGGCGAGCACCAACTTAATCTCATATGACACACAAAGTCCGATTAAGTGCAAACTGTGCATAGGTGTCCACAAGCTTCCTGACTGCCCAGAGTTTTCGGCAATGAAGGTGATGGACCGCCGGACAGTAGCTAAAAGGACAGGATCCTGCTTTGTGTGCTTGAGCAATACCCACAGAGCATCCCTTTGTAGAAACCGAACCAACTGTGGTCAAGACAATTGCAGGGTTCGGCATCACCCCTTATTACATCAAGATAGAGGAGTCGAGCAACCAACGAATAGCGGCCTGGTCGATAGAGCCGACAAACACGCTGCGGGGATACACCTAAATCTGTCTGCACTATCGGACGGGTGTCAAGTGGACCGGTCCACTTGGGAATAATACCAATCCAGGTGAAAACTCCGCATGGTATGGTGCAAGCAGTGGCGTTTCTAGACAATGGTTCGGAAACCACCCTCGTGAGAGAGAGTTTTGCACGAGAACACCACCTGTGTGAACAAACTACCTCATTAGTAATCAGCACGGTGAATGGGGCACGAGCAGTTCGAGCTTTTCAACTGAGTTTGAAGTTAGCTCCCACATCGGGGGAAGATACGATAGAGGTGTACCACGCATTTACTATTGCCGAACCACCAATGAGAGCTTCCGAAAGTATCCAGTCGCTAGCACGGCACTGGTCTCACCTCCACGATCTGCCGTTCGACGACGTTCCGCACACCCGAGTGGACATATTGATCGGTTGTGATGTACTCGAGGCGCATTGGGTTTTGGACCAAAGGATAGGAGGCCGTAGAGATCCGTATGCCGTGCGCACTATGTTTGGTTGGATACTCTGCGGGCCGCTCGGTAATGATGGCAATTATTCAGCCTCGATCAACTTCATCTCGCGGCCAGGTAATCCCATAGGAGACGACCTGAGCGGCTTTGCAATCACGAATTCGGCGACATAGCAGATGACCGGATATCTGTGTCGAGGGAAGACCGAACAGCCCTGACTGTTGTCACCGAAACGATACAACTCAACGGAACCCAGTTCGAAGTTCGTTACCCTGGTGAACGGGATCCAACCGACTGCCAGACAATCGAGAAATAGCACT